GGTGCAAAATGTAACTGGACTATGAGATACCCTATGGGCTATGATTTGTCACTCTACATATTAAAAACTAAATACGTATACAAATCAAGTACAAAAATGGGTACATTTAAGCAAACTTCAAAGCAATGCCATTTTGTGCAATTTGGCTGAATAAACAAATAATACAAAAAATATATGCAAAACAAGAAAAACTCTCTAAAACCAATAATTAACAGATTTTATTACATTGTATACAGAGTTTCAAAGGTTTTGGTTTGTTCGAGTATATCATTTATCATGGATCGAGTGCTGCAATTAATTGTTGCATAGCCACAGGCGACGAGCATTGCCAAATATTTCAAATTCAAATTAATGCAACAAGCAGCTTCAAAACTGAAGTGGACTTTCAAATACCCTATGGAAAGTCTTATTCAGCTCTGATTTCTCTTCCTACAAATGCCGCTAAATGTTTCTCCAAGCAACTGATCCAATGAAAAAGTAATATATATATCCTATAAACTACATATATCTACTACAAAACGGAATGCAAGACGAGCTGCGATGTACATAGGCAAATACAGTTATTTCCAACAGTTATAATACAAAAAATCGGACACTTAACGATTTTTGTTTGTTTGAGTCATGGCTTTATCGTGGAATCAATAACGAAGATTATAAAACCTGCTCTTAATCGAATCTTAATCATAAAATGTTGGCATTCTGAAATCTTACGGTTGGTTCCGCAAAGAAAAAAAAAATAGAACAGATAAACAGTCGAATTAAATTGGAAACGTAGATTTCACACTCAACGACAAATTTATTTTCCGCAATTCAACTAAAGAATTTTAAGACTACACCAAATAATAAATGTAATATCCCATTAAAAGCAAAATACGGGGTAGACCAACAGCTAAATTAGATTCTGAACAAAAACCAGCTAACAAGTAAAAATATGTTGATTAGTTTGCAATGTTGTGAAATGAAATGCATTTCACACATGAAGATTGCATGCCATGGACTTGTTGCCCAGTTGATTCGATGGTTATGCAATCAGGGGGGGGCTTGTAAAGAGATGAGGATAACATTAGCATGCAGGAATGTTCCAAGCAAGCATGGAATGTTATGGGATCGAGGAATGAGGAGTGATGTCCGTCAATGTTGAACAACCATATTCTATATTTTCTGAAAATTATGCATAAACTTTCATAAAATTAAAAAGGAAAAATTTCATGAAATATTAAAAAATGATAGGAAAATAAAGTATAATAAATCGACTGGTATTAAAATATGAATTACAAAAACAATAAGTAAATAAATAAAATTGAATAATGAAAATAAAACACATTAAGTAGCAGAGAGAAAGGGAGAAATAAGATAAGAATAAGATAAGAAAGTCTCAGAGCCTGTCGAGTAAGATAATTCTGAGCTAAGCCACAGTTAAGCACGCCAGAACAAATATGAATGAGAACCTATATTCCAAATTAGAAGTGTCTAGCTTCTATAGTCTCTGAGATCTGCATGTTGATACAGACAGAGGGACAGAAGATTTGGCTATATCGACAAGAATTTATATATACTTTATGCTTCCTTCTATCTAATTACTGGTGATTACTTTGACCTCTATTTGATAAAAATTGCTCTTCGATAAGATATGGTTTTTTTTGCAAACAATATATAGATTAACTATGTGTGAATTTATTTAGTTGTAGTTATTCTTTTGTGCCTGCCTGTGCTTAGCTCACGCTTTAAATTCGCCCTCCTCTTATCAAAAAGCTTTTAAATTTTTATTTAACTTTAATATAAAAAACAAATGATTGACTATATCAGTGAGCGTGATGTAGTCGAAAACAATATACATGAATTTTCTATGGATAAAAAAATAGTATGAGTGTAAAATAGGGAGATATGGATTGTGGACTCCCTTGCTAATCTAATCTATATACTTTTACAAACATATTTATATATGTACATGTGTATACAATATTTGTCATGTTTTTAATCGAATCTATTAAAATGTGTATTGACGATAACTTTTCCAGTTCCTAGGCAGTGGAACCTATGGCCAAGTTTATAAACTGCATTGGAAAACAAGAAATATGAATATTGCGTCGATCATCCGAATATCATTAAATTATATGGAGTTGCCAAGGGTACGGACTCTAAACCATACATTATCATGGAGTATGCAGACTGTGGATCCCTATAACGGAAAAGATTACAGTGACGTATTTGGGAATTCACCATTGGATGTTACAATTGGCGGAGGTACTGTGTTAGTTGTAGCTTAAGTTCTTGTTGCATTTACTGTTTACATTTCTAGGCTGTTGCTTATATGCATGGTTTAAGCCCACCAGTTATTCATCGCGATCTAAAGCCACAAAACCTTCTACTTACCAACAACTATCGGACATTAAAGATATGTGACTTTGGCACTCTTCGAGAATTGGCTTCAACAATGACAAATGGGATAGGCACCGCCAGTTATATAGCGCCTGAAGTTCGTATTTTTAACATAATACAATTCATAATACGAGTTACTACTGTACACCTTTCCTCCTCCAATCGTAGGTTATTAAGGGAAAGAAATATACGGAGAGGTGCGATGTTTATGGCTTTGCCATAATTCTCTGGCAGGTTTTTTCACAGAAGGATCCTTACAGTCACTTTGAAAACCCGATAGGTGCCGTTATTCAATATAGGGTCTGTAACTTTGGTAAGAATGCGTACAAAATATCGCAAGAGTTGTGTAACAAAATATTTACCTCTGCAGATGAACGACCAGATTTGGATCAAGTTAAGGAATTTCCAAATCGAGAGACGATAATTTTCTTAATTAAAGCGTGTTGGGATAAAGATCCAACCAGGAGGCCGACCATGCAATTGCTGAAAAGGATTCTCTCTATGGATCCGGACTCATCTCTACCGAAGATAACAAAAAATAACTATACAATCGTGGAGTCCTAACTCTTTTAATCTGCAAATCGAACCTTCTAGCGACGTTGGTACTTTGTCAGAGTACATTTGAGAGTCACAATCTTTGTAAAGGAAAATTTGGCAATACAATTAAAATGTTAATTAAACAAAGAAATCAATCCACATGCGTGAAACATAAGCGAAAAAGCTTGTTTGCTAAATCAGCTTTAAACTTATTTTCAATTGCAGACAGAACCGGGCACTTCCTTTAAATATTTAAATTATCGGTAAATTAGGACTTTCTTTTGTTTGTCATGCTTAAAAATTAATTAAAGACTGCACACAAAAAGTTGTTGATAAAGCCTTCTGAATGAGATGAAAGTTTTTCTGCGTGCAATAGTCAATAAGCTCATTTAAACGAGGAGAGTGATTTACTAAGGGTGGAGAAATAACACGACGCACAGTGGGGTCTCAGCCTAAAAAGCGTTGTAATAACCGAAATTTGGAGGTAAACATTTTGTGAATTGAATCTGATTGAGAAATTTGCATAGAGTAAGAATGCACATTGGAAAATTGGGCAACTAGTTTGGGTTCTACAGTTTCTCCAAGTAGAGTCCGGCATAGAAGTATGCATAGATTAGGAAATTTTAAAGACTTTTTAAATTGAATAATAATTCATTGTTTTGAAGACTGTTCAAATTCAATAAAATTTTAAGAAAAGTGAATAACAAAAACTGTGAATCTCTACCTGAAGACGAATCAAATTTCGAAATGTGTCGAATTATATAAAAATGAATAAATCCCTTGACCCATAGCAAGCAAAACGTATATTTATCTTTTCAAACAATTCAGTTTTACAGTAAATTAAATAAATTTAAAACGCGTTTCCTTCATAATTGATTTGCTGTTTTCATAAACACCCACTTAAATGTACTAAAACATCACAATCATTAATATTTTGTTTTGATTTGCCATGGCCAAAAAAACCGAGAGATGTACAAATGTAATTAACCAGTCAACTAAGAAGCATTTGCATCATAACCAAAAATTGTTCATTAGCTCATGCAGCCTAAAAAACTACTGTGAAATATATGCGCCCATAAAAGCAAAAACAGGCAACTCTGCAGTCTATACCCTACTCCCCCTCATGCATGCCTACCCTCCTCCACATACAGCATACCACAGATACGACACGCAACTTTCCATCGCATCTGCAATGGAAAGCTTAACAAAGTAACTGAAAGTGCTCGACTAGAAGTTTCCCTGTCTGCTGCCTTTACAGATTCAGATGATTTCAGATCGTGCTTGCTATGCCTTAGTTTTTTTTTACTGCTCAGCATCTGTAGTCGTCACTTGTTCTATTTATAGATTTTCGCTCGTGCCCCGACGAAACAACAAACGATAGAAACTGACAGCTAAATGGATAACGCATACACACACACACACATACACACAACGCGCGCGTACATGTCAGCGGACACTCGGCAACTGAACGCAAACGAAGTTGCGAAGATCCGAAGCGCCGAAGCAACAGCACCCAGACACGAACAGGCACGAACGGGCCTGGAAGCACTTGTTATACAATTTACTCGACCGTTCTCGTTGTATCAAATGCGAAAAAGCATCTAGATCCCAGCAGCGAAATGACGCCATTACGATTTCGATTCGTTTTGCATACTTTTCCAGTATGGCCACGATGGTGAAGTAACCACTTACTGTACATGCTGGGCTGTCAACGGAAAACTATTCGACTCCATATGCCAAGACTATTGTAATGCAGCTGCAATACACCCTCAAATTCGGAACAATGTGTAGTAAATACATATATTACAAATGTAATTGTATATAATCCAAATATAGAAAGAATACTATATAAATTATTTATGACTATATATATACATATATAAATATATATATATATAACAATTTGAAATATTATTTGTTTTTCACTACACCAATTGCATAGCCGTTAAGAAAAAAGCACTTTAATCGGAAAAAAATTAATTCGCAGCGCTCCTCTACGATATACCGATAGATTAACGAGTTGCAATTTAATTTAGTTATCGATGGTTGCGATCACTATATCAAATATGAAATCATATCAGTATTCTTTTGTGCCTGCCTCTAATTGGTTTACGCGTTTGGTTCAAGCTCCTCTTATCAAATACATTTTATAAAAAAAAAATTGTCGGTGCTTTTAATAAGAAAAATGTCTGACGAAATGCTCTCGCCAAATGATTTAGTCGAAATCGAAATAAATGGAAGTGAATTTTCTATGGATAACAAGAAAGTAAGAGTAAAATTAAAATTGTAATATCTGGAGATATTGAGTTGCCCTTTTTAGTAGTCATTTAATAGTAATATTTTTTTTGTACAATTTGGTCCACCCTAAAATTTGTCGTTGTTGATTAGACGGCCGTTCAAACGGAGAGATAGGCAGATAACCGAGAGAAGAGAACCACTCAGAACGCAGCACGAAATCGCTCACTCAAGAAGCGCTCAACAAGAAGCTTTGCAATAAGCTCGAGCGAGGTCTTGCTGCGGTCAAACGGCCAAGGTTATTGAAACAAAGAAGTCGTGTATGTTGCGAATCGACAATATAGAAAACATTGTGTAAAAACACGTGATTGTAACCTCATAAGTTACAGGGCATTACAAATAGATATATTACTGTGAAAGTGCGGTGGATAATAAAAAGGCCCATTCTTGGGCAAAGAGTATGGACCAGACCTGCCACCAGTGAGCCAGCTGCACGCCTTCATAAGGTACACCGCGGGAGTGATTCACTCCGACGAGGTTGTAATTAGTCAACCTTACTTCATTGCATCGACATCAGAAGCGTCGCAGGCAGCGGGACGGAAGTGCGTTTAATCCAAGAGGACAACTTCATCCCACGGACCCAGACTTAGCGCATATTCGCTATATTGAAATCAAGTAATTCCGAATTAATATCAGCTAGTGCCAGATTACCTTAAAAGTTAAGCAAAGAAGACGTGAATGATCAGTCAGCGGTGTGGTGCACGCCTACTTACAAACACAAGCAATTTTTTTTGAGATAAGTGCTTATCAGTTTTTGTGCTTCGTAAAAGCGCGGATGAACAGGCCATAAAGTTTGAAAAGGTCACTTGCTAATAAAATTCAGCGTATTTAAACAAGCGCAACTCGTAATTGGCAAAATGCCCTAAATTACTTTGAATGTATCCAGAAATATAATTATTGAAGTTTTTTTTTATTATTAATATGGTTGAATAATTTCATAGATATGTCCTTGTAAAAAAAAAAAAAAAAAAAAAAGAGAGTAATAGTAGGTGATACATTAAGATTTAACAATACACTGGCTGTATTAAATCAAACGGATAGTCAAACTTAAATTATATATATATATGTATTTCCTAATGTTGTAAATAATTCTTTGAACAGCTTCATCTCTGCGTCGACGAACATTGGGCCCAACGATCGCATCGACGTCAAAATTTAAATAAACAAAAACATAGAGTGAGTAATGAAACAGCAACAATGTAGGTACATAAACAATTAGACATGTATGACCTACTTAGTAAATAAGGAAAACCATATACATATATAAAAAAAAAAAAACGACTGATCCGCAGTAAATACGCCAAGTGATACTTGTTATCTAAAAAAAATGTATTCCATATATATATAAGCCCTAAATATAAGTAAAGCATCGAAAGTGATTGAGCATGAAGCTACCTGGAAATGCTAAAGAAAAAAAATAGAATTTAAATTGAATAGTGATGATAATTAATTTAAAAAAAAAAAAAAAAAGAGAAAATGTACCCATAGATTATAACTCAATTATATAAGAGAAAATAGAATTAAGAGTAATGTCCACAACATACCAAATTAAGTTAAGAGAAAATACATGAATTTGCAAGCAATTTAAAATGAGGAGTTAAGGAGTAGAATTCGTCTGTCGAGTATCCATGCTAGAGTTTTACAGAATGTGTTAGGATTTTAAGAGTCCGTACAAGGGATAATGTATCAAAATTTATATCATTATCATGGTAGGGTGGGTAAAGAAGAGGGACAACTGTCATGTACGTTCCCTCTAATAGGACTAGTGTCTCGGTATAGTTATAGGACGTGTCGGCATCTCCCATAAATGATAATTGAATTTCATAACCCAAGTGGTTACTTGTTTTTGTAAACGCGGACTGTTTAAATGTGGCAGAGTAAATCCGTATTGCTTGAGTAAGAAAGAACCCCGACAATCCGGCGAGCTAGTACGAGCATAGCGAGAGTGCGCACCTCAAGCTCAACAATACACCGGTCACTTAAATTGGCAAGTTCATCAGCCAATCATTAGTAAGACCAAATAAGTTATCCTAAAGAAAATAGCTTATACAAAAAAAAGAAATGATACCCTGGTTTACTACACCTTGCTAATCTAATCATTGTTTTATCCTAATCTACACAAATGTGTCACGACCAATTGCGTAAAATTGCATTTGTTGACCAAATAAGGAATCTTTGGGTTTATTCTGGAAGTTGGCCTGATGGGGAATGAATCAAATATAAATTTAGCATTTTAAAGATATCTTGAACTTCGTATGTTAAACTAAATAATTCATATTCAGATCCTAGGCCGTGGAAGCTATGGCGAGGTTCATAAACTGTTTTGGAAAACAAAAAATATGAATATTGCGGCTAAGCATTTCAATGGGACCGATGAAACTGTAACAAAGGAATTTAAGAAAGAACTCAAAAATCTAAGTCGCGTTGATCATCCGAATATCATTAAATTATATGGAGTTGCCAAGGATACGGACTCTAAACCATACATTATCATGGAGTATGCAGACAATGGATCCCTATATGAATGCATGAAAAAGGCAGAGATTAGAGTGACGTATTTGGGAATTCACTATTGGATGTTACAATTGGCGGAGGTACTGTGTTAGTTGTAGCTTTAGTTCTTGTTGCATTTACTGTTTACATTTCTAGGCTGTTGCTTATATGCATGGTTTAAGCCCACCAGTTATTCATCGCGATCTAAAGCCACAAAACCTTCTACTTACCAACAACTTTCGGACATTAAAGATATGTGATTTTGGCACTGTTCGAGAATTGGCTTCAAAAATGACAACAGCGAGAGGCACCCCCATTTATACAGCGCCTGAAGTTCGTATTTTTAACATAATACAATTCATAATACGAGTTACTACTGTACACCTTTCCTCCTCCAATCGTAGGTTTTTGAAGGAAAGAAATATACGGAGAAGTGCGATGTTTATAGCTTTGCCATTATTCTCTGGCAGGTTTTTTCACAGAAGGAGCCTTACAATCACTTGGGAAACCAGGAACCTTACACTATTCAGAATTTGGTCTGTAACAAAGGTAAGAAAGCGTAGAAAATATCGCAAGAGTTGTGTAACAAAATATTTACCTCTGCAGATGAACGACCAGATTTGAATCAAGTTATACGCTTTCCACATCGAGAGGCGATAATTTTCTTGATTAAAAAGTGTTGGGATAGAGATCCAACCAAGAGGTGGACCATGCAAAAGATGAAAAGTATTTTCGCTATCTCATCTGTACCGAAGACAACAAAAGATGACTATATCGTGGAGACCTAACTCTTTTCATCTGCAAATCGAACCTTCTAGCGACGTTGGTACTTTGTCAGAGTACATTTGAGAGTCACAATCTTTGTAAAGGAAAATTTGTCAATACAATTAAAATGTTAATTAAACAAAGAAATCAATCGACATGCGTGAAACATAAGCGAAAAAGCTTGTTTGCTAAATCAGCTTTAAACTTATTTTCAATTGCAGACAAAGCCGGGCGCTGTCTTTTGGTATTTAATTAAGTCAAGAGAAAAACAAGGAAGAAACAACGAAATACGATGTGCTTGTTTGCATATACACTTTTGTTATTGCTGTTGTAATGTCAACCGCAAAGTCAACATCCAAGGCCACAATATTTGCATATCAATGTACCCACAAAATAATATAGATGCAAACAGGCACGACACGCACACACACATACACATACACATACACATACACATACACATACACATACACATACACATACACATACACATACACATACACATACACATACACATACACATACACATACACATACACATACACATACACATACACATACACATACACATACACATACACATACACATACACATACACATACACATACACATACACATACACATACACATACACATACACATACACATACACATACACATACACATACACATACACATACACATACACATACACATACACATACACATACACATACACATACACATACACATACACATACACATACACATACACATACACATACACATACACATACACATACACATACACATACACATACACATACACATACACATACACATACACATACACATACACATACACATACACATACACATACACATACACATACACATACACATACACATACACATACACATACACATACACATACACATACACATACACATACACATACACATACACATACACATACACATACACATACACATACACATACACATACACATACACATACACATACACATACACATACACATACACATACACATACACATACACATACACATACACATACACATACACATACACATACACATACACATACACATACACATACACATACACATACACATACACATACACATACACATACACATACACATACACATACACATACACATACACATACACATACACATACACATACACATACACATACACATACACATACACATACACATACACATACACATACACATACACATACACATACACATACACACACAAATACAAACACGAACATTAGCGAATAAGATAAGCCGCATCAGAAATTTCTATGTACATGTTTATGTATGTGTGTGTGAATAGATGTGTGTGTATGTATGTATGCATGCCAAAAAAACTAAGAATGTTGTGTGTTTACAGTTGCCAGTTGCGTTCTCAAAACAAAAAGAACAACTAAAGAAACCATAGCAACAACAACAACAACGCCGAAACAATGGCAAAGAAATGCAAACAAGAAGCAACAAAAAGCACATTTCGAAAATTGAAAAGAGCCAAAAAGTGCCACAAATATGCAACCGCACAGACCAAAACGAGACCTGCACACAGAGAAATAGAGAGAGAGAGAGAGAGAGAGAGAGAGAGAGAGAGTGATTGAGGTGGTGAGGAGAAAGGGAGAGCGAAAGATAGAGATAGACAGCTAGGACGCACAGAGAGCAAGATAAATTCAAACAGCTCGCACAATTAAATATTCAGAGCGAATATTTCGTTGGTCGTCAACAAATCCTGAAATAGGAAAATAAATAAAAATGAAAACATGAAAAGTTTTCTGCAATCGTACGTAAAGTTGCAAGAAAAATATTTGCCGAGACTAGAAAATAATTACGAAATAACATATATATATATATATATATATATATATATATATATATATATCGTTGTCTCACTTAAGCCATAATTGGCACGTTCTGTTATTATTCTTGCACATACTATAAGTAAAATTTCACAAAGTCAAAGTTGACAATATTTTACCAGACCTAAAAGCGAGCTTTAAATTCCTTTTATGCATATATTATTATTATTGTGATATCTGCACTGCGATCTAATAGATATATTCTGCCCCCTTCTAAGCCTATAGCTCCTCCATAAACCCCAGCTGCTGCAAGAATGCGAAAATGTGTTCATTGCTTATATGAGTTTGGAGATCATAACATAAATCCCTAGGATACTAGGATTCTTCCTCTTCTAGTATGCCACTGTAAATATTTCGCTTAGTTGGGTGACCTCTTAATCTACAATATCCTGTCCAAAGACCGGTCCGTATCCTAACCTATTCTTCTCCTGTCATAAATACGCAGGCCAACTTTTGCAACTGTCTTTGCACGATGATCCGCCATGCTATCGATCCATCGACAGCATGGGTCTTACTACCATTATGTATAGCCATCTATGCTATGCTATGAGATGTATAAAACACCATACATAGGACCTACTGTCGTATGTGACCCCAAAGTATTTTATCTTCCTACTTGTTCCTAAGAGCCATGTTCCTGAAAGCCATATTTGCCTCATTCTCTGTAACTTATGTCTTCGATTAAAGGAGTCTATGACTGTTTTTTTGGGGGTTTTGGTTGAGTCCAACCTCCGTAATCCAGTCACTCGTTATTCTCAGCTCTAATTCAACTATATCACAGAGTGATTCTTCAAATTTGCCATGTGCTATGATAATACCCCTGTTGGCAAGTCAGTTAAGTAGTCTGTCTAATAACAGGATCCAGAGTAGCGGAGATACTACTCCTGATTGGAGACAGTACTTAAGACTGTTACAGTGCTGACTTGTCTGGACACTGGCAGTGAGAGTACCCACCTGCTGGTAGTTGCGTCCAGGCCCCTTCTCAAGAAGGAAGCCTTGATCACATCATGAGATCCCGCAGATTGAAACTTCTGTATTATCAACTGCCGCACTTAAAATAGTTCACAGCTGGTAAAGCGATGTTTCCGTGGATCTGCTTGCTCTTTATGCATGCGTCGTTGGTTGCTGATGGGTCTGAAGGACTTTGGGTTGGTGATGTCTTTCTTCCCCACCTTGGGGATAAAGATAACCCTAGGTCTACTCCATGCGCACGGTATATATCCGAGGGATAGGCTGCTAATTAGTGTTAACAGGATAGAGGGGTATATTCTGGCCCAGTTGGAGGAAAACTGGCGATATTCCGTCCAGCCTGGGAGATTTGAATGGCTGGAAAGTACGAATTGCCCATTCTATCCTCTCCAGTTGTGACTGTCGACTTGGGACTGCTTGCCAAATTGCTGGTGGGTAATTTAGGGGCTGGTTGAGGTCCTCATCAGGAGCATTATCCGCGTAAGACTAATTATAAAAGACGGTCGCCATTTCCCTGAGCGCACCGTTGAGGACTGAGTTATTTGTTGATCAGGGTCCACAGCCTGGTTGACTCTCGGCACGGTTCGAGTGACACCATAGTCCGAGAGGAAGTTGGGTGTAAGTGAGGCTATGCTTTTAAAGACGGCAGGACATGCGCCTTGTCAGTCGATTGTCGTAATCTAACCTAAAGCTAATCTATCAGTAAACATGCAGCTAAATTGTGACGTTGGTTGTTAACGTTGCTGCAATTTTATACCGAGCAGTTAAGAATATATAATGGAAATTGAACTAATCGAACAAATATTTAAATACCAGCAGATAATGGTATGTAATCTTCATTTTTTCTGTTTTAATTAATTTGTTTTTTTTTCCCCCCCAAAACAAATATAAATACAAACCCAATATGATGGTGAAAAACCATATAAATGAGGTCAGTTTTAGTTTTAATTATTTTCAAATTCGTTAACCTGGCCAACGATGCTCGCAACTATGTCACCTAGGAGCCAAGTTCTAGGCCAGTGAGGACTTAGCCAATATCTGTTTCAGTCACATCGGCTGGAAAACCGCGATGACAGCGGGAATGCGGTTTCCGTTTCCAGTCTGTGGCTTTGAGTAAGCTGCTCGTTTGTTCGTTAACGTTGAAATTGTAACTTTTATAACTCTTTGTTGCTGTTGTTGTTGTTGTTTTTAGTGTGTTGTTTTTACTCACTTTTGTATGGAGTTAAAGTTTTTGCATTTAAATGCGGCAGCTTCCTGGCATTGGCAGACTGACACTAAAAGCCTATTTTGCGCATAATCTCTGCACTCTTTTTCTATCTCTATATCGGTCTCTCCCTCCCCATCTGTGTCTCCTTCTCTTTCTCTCTGCCTCTCTCTCTCTCTCTCTGTCTCACACACTCCCTCTTTCCCTCTCGCATTCTCTTTTGCTCATCCAATGGCTATTTAAGCTGCGTCCGAAAACTTAGTCGAGTGCATTTCCTACTGTAAAATGTTGCATTTCCTTGCAGAGCAACACATCGTCAGTCAACGAAACGAGCTGTGTTGTTTTTGGTGTGATTAAGTTTGCCAAATTTCCAAACTTTGACAGAGCTGAACCAATGAGCCGTAGGCTCTGCCAATGTCTTAGAAAATCTTATTAAGCAGCAAACAGCAAGCAAGTCTTACTTATAAATTAATAATTTAAGTTGATTTAACGACAATGTAAAATTGACTGATTTTCTGTGCGAAAATTATGAAATTAAACAGAAAATAAGATTACATAACCTTGGTGACCTTAGTTAATCTTGTGACAACTAAACTTTAATCGAAACGAAATAATTAATTTTAATAATTTTCCTTTTCATGAATAACATATTGCGTCACATATGTAACTTAAGTCTTTTGACCATATGATATAGTAATCCGATGAGGCGCCTATACCAAATTAAGAATAATTATCAAATTTCATAAAGATAACTTTAAAACTGCTCAGTAACTTGTTTATAATTGTGTTTGCTCAACTATTCAAAATATTTATATTACGAACACTAAAAAGGGCATTCGATCTAGCTATACAATAGTAAAGTAAACTTAGCTATCACTGTCTGTCTGTTCGTCTGTCTGATTGCCGAGATATCAAATAAAATGTTTGAATTGGCCTAAAATCGCATATCTCCATCATCAGCTGGCAGCAGAGTATGCATCAGTCGGTTACATCAGACTGCAACAAGCTCGCTTGCTCTCGATTTATTTCCTGAAACCTAAAATGAATTTAACCAAAATTTAACTTGAACTTCATATCTCATCATAGACGCTGCGTAATA